TGTATAACGTGTACTGATGCATATTTACATGTTTAGAAGTATTCATTTTAAGTGATCCCAGGAAATAATTTGTATTGGCTCAAGAATAAGCTTTAAAATTTTAACACTGTGTACAAAAGGGTGGGGGGGGGGAGCCGCGACTCCCACGGCTCCCCCCTCCCTGTATACGTCCCTGATACAAAAATAGTTTAAATAAAACTTAAATATAATATGAGTGTTCGAACCTCTACCTCTCCATACAGGTGGACTGTAGTAGCTCCTTGACCAATCAAAATCATCATTGCGATCTTGCGATATGTCATTATAGTAGCAAGTTCTTTCGAAGTCGCAACTAAAATCAGACTGTGAATACCACCAAATCGATGTCGTTTGTGCTTGGTTCAATTGACAGCGGAGAATCACAGAAACGAACAGAAATGTCCAATAAGCAGCAAAGACCATCTTGTCGCAGCAACAGGCTTACAACACATCAATCAGCAAAGTTTCAACGGAATGACTTACTGTGATTTGTGAAATATAGGCCAACATGTCGTACCCAAATTAATATTTTAATACTATTTCCTGTTAAAATAAACAAAGTAGATTGGTTGGTATCATCACGTGATTGTATACATTTACAATAAAGTAAACAGAAAATCAACAAAAGAACAAGTCAGGTGCAACGGGCCGAAACCCAAGAACGAAAGTACTGGTGTATTTTCATGTCTCATTTCGAAATTAAATTTTAAAATGGCGTCCTATCTGGTAACATATGAAAGAACGGAGATCCGTTCAAAGAAAGGGTTATACATGGCTTTACATTGATTGAAAATTAGCCGAAATCTCATTGCTTTAACCTATGGACTGCATATACACAGCATAATACACACACTGCGCGTTTAGCATTACTGACAGTTGGTCTAACCATGGAATAGGTCCATGGTCTAACATTACTGATTAAATCATTTTATGTGTAGTTTCAATACCGGTATTTAAATTCAAGAATTTGAGTAAGGATGATCATTAATTGTGTAATAATCCATGTCGTACACGGATTTTCAACGAAATATTTTTGCTATTAACCGTATTTTGATAGTTTTTTAGTATACATTAGTTATCCATCATCAATGTAAAGCCATGTATAACCCTTTCAACCATTATCCATCATTATTATATCAAAAATAAATATTTGGTTTATTATTAATATAATTATTATCTTTCAACATCATCATGAACTTCATTGTCGTCATTATCATTATATTATTATTATCATTAGGCTATTATTATTATTAGGCCTATTATTATTATTATATTATTATTATTATTATTATTATTATTATTATTATTTAGTGGTTATATTTATCAGTATTAGTACTAGTAGTAGTAGCTGTAATAGTAGTGGTAGTGGTAGTAGTAGTAGCAGAGTGTAGCAGCAGTAGCTGTACTAGTAGCAATAGTACTCTTGGTTCTTTGTACAGTATGTCAGTGGTTTCTCTGAGAAAGTTGGTGTTTCCAACATGAAATTGCTTCTTATCTTTATCTTATCTTTAATTTAAGTCGTGATTTGAGCATTTGAACTCCATTCAACCATTAGGAGCTTATTTTGTTGAAAATTAACGAGTCTGTAAATAGGGAGATAAGCAACCGACTCCATGTTCTATAATGGTTGGTCGGAGCATGGAGGAAATATATTAAGATATATTTCCTCCATGGTCGGAGTCAAAATGTAAATAATGTACTGATAGGCATGGTTGGTTTTCTGTAAACCTAATGGTTATTACAATGCGTTTAACATCATAGTGTCATGGAAATGAAGTTTGACTACATCTTAAGTAGGCCCTAATTAAATTATATATTGACGTCAATGTTGGTGGTATACAGTACTTTGTGAATATGTCAATATGGTCGTCATGAAAAACAATTAACGTACCATAAAAATACAAGACACAATTCAACTTTATTGTCAAAATAAAACTTATGAGATATTTGTTGTAACTTAAACTGTAGAATACTAAATATGCATGTGATATATAATTAAATATATAATTCTTAGTATAAGTAAACAAAAATTCTTAATACAATCCAATTATGAAAATGTATATGTACTACATTGAGTATCTGAAACGGTTTGTGGATATTTGTTGTTGTTTAAGCCTAACTCTGTCCAGTCTACTCAATGCTGTAGCCAGCTACGGTACTGTTTTGCTACGCCTTCGGATGTTATATTGATGTAAGGAATTAAATTGTAATGAGATTTAATGTCTGGCGTCTCATGTGTAGGTATTGGTTTTGTAAGACACGTTGAAATTGTGAGTTTAATGCGTCAGCCTTTATCTGCATTACACATTTTGTGTAGGTGTTTTAAGTGTATGCCAAGGTTTTCTGGGATTTTTTTTTAAGTCGTTAAAAAATTAGAAAATACGTCTACCGCCACTGAGCGTCCAGAAAAATTTACCATATGACTTATGAAAGCATCAAGGACAAAATATTTGACTTCACTTAAATACGGAAGCTACATGATAAAAACTTCAGATATGAGATGGCCATAGGCCTATATTTCAAAATCAATTATAAAATAAAGAATTAAGCCATTACGGTATGTTTGCTTATTGTTATCTTCCATATCACACTTTCGGAATTCATATGAGAAAACTATATTCCAATGTATGCTAAAACACGTAGAAATGCATTAACATAAATTTATTTTCATTATAATGAATAATATTAATGATTATCACTATTTATAATGAATAATGGTGGGTGATTGTCAGGGCATCATTTATAGTGCTTCAATAAACACACCAGGGGTAACAGAATTGAAGGATAATGATGATTATCATCATTGTTTTAACTTAATATTAAATGTATTGTTAGAATGAATAATAATAATAATAAAGCAATGGTACCGTTGGTGTAAGTAGTCCAAAATTATAAATTCGTTGATAAATATTTATTATTTATTTATTACAAAACTATGTATAGAAATATATTTTTAATCATAATATATATGCCTATAAATTTACAATAGGACTATTAATTAAAAATAAAATGTTTGATAATAATTGATTTATGCATTCTACTTAAAGCTCAATTGTATTATGTTGATATATTGCAATAACATGTGCTGAAGTATTTGATTTCTAATGCTATTCTACAGTTTGCATCTTTCATCAATTGTACACCGTACATTATAACAAAATGTAATGGTAGCACATGTCTAAAAATTCAACACTAACACTGCTGAATCTGCCTATTATTGGCCATTGTCTATTTAATCAGATTTATTTGTTATTTACAGACTATTATTAAGTCCAAAACGGTAGATAATAACTTCGTAAAATATAAACACGGATATATTTCATTAGTTTATATCAAAAATCATATAAATTAGAGCTTATAAAATTAATTCTCAATAGTTGGACCGTTGTGTTATATATATATCTGTCTCTTATACACATCTAGATGTGTATAAGAGACAGGTCACTTTATCAAATATATGCTACTATTTTTATTACTATGTCCATCATTATTGCTGTTATTATAGTAATATGTGAGCTGTCTCTTATACACATCTAGATGTGTATAAGAGACAGGTTTGTCAATTACCTCTTGTATATCTGTCTCTTATACACATCTAGATGTGTATAAGAGACAGTATATATACATATATATATACATTATTTACCTGGAGATCAACATTTCATATTTCGTAAAACAAGGATATGCTATTACCAAATACAAGAGTTTTCCCTCAACAACTTTTTCATGAAAAATATTGATTAAACTGGACTGGAGCCATCGTGTTTAAACATTACCGTACGTAATTACGCAACTTACAGCAAAATATGTTAATGACTGGTTCTCTTCAAGCACTTCAACTTGTTCCCATCCTTGTGTTGTTCCCATTTTTTCCCAAATTAGTTTCTTTATATCATTTTCTTTTTGAATGCAAACTCGTAAGTATAGCTGTGGATCGAAGTTCATATTGACGCTAAATTTGACGTTGATACTACCACTATAGTTTATGGTTGGTGTTTGAATATGTGCATTTTTTCCGCCACCACCTTCGATATACATGTAGGTAGGAGAAGCTGGAAAAATAGGAGTAAGAGGATCTTGTAATTCTACCAATTGAATTAGAATCCAAATATATTAGTATATTAAAATGTAATGTTTCTATTTCTAGCCTATATCCTATATTTAAAATGTGATGAGATCATCGATATACCGAGTTTTCACTAACTGTTATAATTATTCGTTCGTAATTGACTGTCATACATCTTCCATACCCGATAGACCGTAAGCGTTCACGTTGTTGAAATACAGCCAATCCAAATCGTCGTCATGTCTCTGCCACAGGCCACACCCAGCAATGTCAGTATCAAAATTGCATGAAAATTCTCCACTGTAGTTGTCCACAGCCTCACATTCATCGAACATGATATCATCAATTGCAAAGGTGGTTCTGAAATAACTCTTTCCGACCGTCGCTATAAATATTATCTATGAAATAATACAGTACTGAAATAATCAAAAGTGGTGATTAATCAACACAAGGCAAATATTTTATACAAACACCCACATTAATAATGTATACATAATATATAGGCCAAACGCAGTGGCGTAGCTAGAGGTTTTGGGGCCCGGGGGCAAGAATAGAAAAAGTAGAAAACCCTTGAACGAAAATTCTCCACTGTAGTTGTTCGCAGCCTCACATTCATCGAACATGATATCATCAATTGCAAAGGTGGTTCTGAAATAACTCTTTCCAACTGTCGCTATAAATATTATCTATGAAATAATACAGTACTGAAATATTCAAAAGTGGTGAATAATCAACACAAGGCAAATATTTTATACAAACACCCACATTAATAATGTATACATAATATATAGGCCAAACGCAGTGGCGTAGCCAGAGGTTTTGGGGCCCGGGGGCAAGAGTAGAAAATTGCGCACCACCCCCAATTATAATTATAATATTTTGAAATTAATTGATATTGGTTGTATAGACATTAAGCATATGCGTACTGTACGTCCATCGGGACGTCCATATAATGCACTGTCTAAATAACATTATTTAAACCCGAATAACTATTATTATTCTAGCTCTCATATGTTCTTTCTTACCAGGGATGGGGGCCAGAGTTTGCCCGAGTAGAGTCCAATGTTCGGGGGGGGGGGGGGGGCCCCGACGGGGGGGGGATGCCCCGACGAGGGGGAAGATTTCCTTGAAGAGAGCAAAGTGGGCATGATCGAGCTTCGCTTAAAATCTTCCGAAAGTGGCCTGGGGGGGGGGGGAAGCCCCCAAAAATTTTTGACAATTTATGGATTTCAAAGGCTTATTTAATCGATTTTAGAGTCTATTAATATTTACAAAATACATGTAATTTTTTTTCTCCCCAACGAATTTTGATTTTTCTGCCCGACGAAGGTGGGGGGGGGGGAGGCGCAGCTATCCCCGAAGGGGGCTCTGGCGCCATCCCTGTATCTTACTATTGAAACCGCATTACAATGTTCGGAACTTTGTATAAAACTTTACCATTATCCTAATTGTAAGTTGCTGAATTTTTAACATTGTTTAAACTTGCAACTGAATTTTGTGTGCTTTTGTATCAGCAAATAAGTTAAAAACATGATCAAAGTTAGTAATGTTGTCTGCTTTATCACGCTCAATACTAAGTAGTGCCAAAGCAAATAGTCTCGCTTTTCCCATCGTGGCTCTGAGATATGGCAAGATGAGCTTAAGTCATGTAGTCATTACAGAATAGGATAAAAAAAAAAAACAAGAGAAAACGGTCGAAATGGACTGAAAAGAAATCACAATCTATGAATTTGCTAATAAAAGCAACTACATTCGGATTCTTATTAAAATATTCATGCCTGACGAAATACATAAATTTCGTCGTGTTTTTCTAAAATTGCTTACTTTTTACTCTCATTCTCCCATTTCAGCTCCCCCTCAAACGTGACGCCCGGGGCACGTGTCCCCCTTTGACTCCCCTAGCTACGCCATTGCCCATACGTAAAAACGCTCCTTGCCAAAATCATTGATCCAACTGCTTCTTCTTCTAGCTACATTTTTATGTTCACTTCGCACCACAAATAATATACTTTATGTTCTCTTGCTAAAATTACTCAATCGCCTGACCATCCCTTACATTCATTTCTTCCAGCTCGACGATCGTCCTCCATAGCGCTACGTAATTCTCGACATTTTGCATCCCTGCCCTTCAATGCTAAAACCTTTCGATTTCTCAATTTTTCCCCCTTTGCTTTGTGCCTTTCATACGACCTTGCCAGTGGCGTAAACGCCTATGCGCTCTCATGCGGCGGTCCGCAGGGCCCCCTGAATTCTAGGGGCCCCGAAGGGGCCCTACTTATAGATTCCTCTATTTAGCACCCTGACCAAAAAGGACTTTGTTGATAAATAAAACCATAATGTGTCTATGTAGGGCATATATCATATTATAATGATTAAAGAGAGACGGGGCCCCCCTCTCGGCCTGGGACCCCAATAAATTTGTCAAAAACAAAAATTAAAAATGGAGATAAAAAGAAAATTATATTCACAATAATGAAGTCTGTGAGTGCCATTTCCGGCCATCTAGACATGCCATAGTAATAGTACATTTTCTTATCACAGCCCCACAAGGACAACGGCATAATGTGTTTCTGAAATCGACTGTAGAACATATCTAATTATATCCAGTGGCGATATTCATCAATTTTCTTACCTTATCCCCAACCATGGTGGGTCTGAGGTGGTATAGACTCAACTGTGAAAGTCCCTCCCTGGCCTCATTTTTCTGGATGCATATTGATTCATTTATTCGTCGTTAAAAAGAGTTAAAATAACAACGCACACCTAAAATCCCACGATAGAATTGGTGACCGGGCGGACCCAAAAAGGGCCCCCAGTTTCAGAAATACACAGGGCCCCCGGTCCCATCGTTACGCGACTGGACCTTGCTATCGACCCCGCCACTTTATCCCTTTCCGACATTAAAACCGCTCTTTTTATGAAGGCCCAATAAGTTGTCAATTACCTCTTGTATATAGTGTACGTATTGTAAGTGTTCATGTTTGGCGGATAATATGCATATATGGTTGATGAAGTAATAACAAATTGAACTGAATTTAATTAAATTGAATATTGATATATGAGAAGTTGTAAAAAAAATATGAAAATGAGGCATGTAGACTGTAGAACATTGGATTTCTTTGGTAAAGAAGTGTTCGGCCAGTAATCCAATCTTTTATGTCAAGCGTTGACAAAGACTGCAGGAGTAGTATAATCTTCGTTGCAATACATTTCAGTGCTTCTAAAGTCAATATTTTAAATACCATGATTTATTTGTTTAGATGTTGCGTCTTTTTGAAACAACAAATAATTATTTTTTGCGAATGTATATGATGTCATACCCCTCATTAACAGACAACCTACCATTTTTGATAGACTTTGTGCCACTGTATGTTTAAATGTAATATATTTTGTCATAGGCCAGACAGTCTCCATTACTTACTGTGAAGTCGTAGTCTGTTGGCTGAATGGTTACTTTCGCTAATTTCCATTTATTTTCTGTAGGTGTTGTACTGAACCAGATGCTATCAATTGTATATAATATTTCTAGATACACCTCTAATTTAGCACCCTCTTGTCCATCCACATAATACCAAAATTCCAGACATCTTGGCTTTCCCGTTGCCATGAGTTTTGGAGTGTAAAGCTTCGCTGAATCCCCAGCAGGCCGAAAATACGATGGTTCAATAAACAAGTACATGTAGTGACCTTCATATAATAATAGAAATGTTAGATTGTTTCACTTTCAGTTTTGCAGATACAGATTGTTTAAACATTCTTTATTTTCGTTTACATGGAAATAAAAGCTTCACTTAGATGCTTCACTTTAAAAAACAAAGCGATCAGTGTTTGCTATACTAGATCCAATTCAAGAGAGAATCTGAGATTCGTTTAATAAGTCATGTATAAAACCTCTGCTTTTAGAGTATTTTGAAAACAGGGGCGGATCCAGAATTATTTAAACGGGGGGAGGGTAGAACAGCAGTTTCAGAATAGATAAGTGAGAGCACATAACATTGATATGCATTGAAATTTTAAGAAAAATTAGCAGCAAAACGGGTCTACTGGACCCGCGCCTGGAAAACTCAGTACTTGTGTAAGCATGCATACGTTTTTATTTCTATATTTTGAAAGGTGTATTATGCTATATGCATTTCAAACTTTAACAATGTAAAAAGTGATATGATTCATTAAAATTTCTACAAAATATTGACGATATTTTTGCTAAATACTGTTTTAAGAATCTGAAAATAAGGTTAGGAATATTTTGTAATAGGTTGTGATATGTTATACTGCACTTTGTTTTAATTGTGTTATTTTAAAATAGGTCTTAAGCTAGCCTGTCCAAAGCCACCCCTGTCTAAAGCCACCCAGCAATGGAATATACCACTGTAAGGTGGGGGTGTACACTGGGTTGTTAATCTCTACTATCTGGGCTGCTAGTAGGAGTTGTTTGAATCAGACCATAGAGAAAATATTTTCTCTATGATCAGACCTACAATTTCATTCTTTTTTGTACAGTATTATGAATTAAAAACTGAGAGTGGCCTAGATTAGGCGGAATTAGGCATAAACATTCAGTACTCCAACCAAATGCAAAATAAAACTAGGGATAAATGATCACAGCTTCCCTTAATTACGTAATTGGCTATTTTTTAGAAATGTATTTTTCTCTTGTCAAAATTTATCATTTATCCAGTATCATTTGTTACCATGTCTTTGTCGTTGTCGTTGTCGTTAATAATAATAATAAATAATAATAATAATAATAATAATAATAATAAATAATAATAATAAATAATAATAAATAATAATTAATAATTAATAATTAATAATAATAATAATAATAATAAATAATAAATAATAAATAATAATAATAATAATAATAGTAATAAAATAATAATAAAAAAATAATAAAATAATAACAAAATAATTAAAAAAATAATAAAATAATAAAAAAATAATAATAAAAAAATAAAAAAATAATAAAAAAATAATAATAAAATAATAAAAAAATAATAATAAAATAATAATAAAATAATAATAAAGTAATAATAAAGTAATAATAAAGTAATAATAAAGTAATAATAAAATAATATTATTATTTTTATTTTTATTATTATTATTATTATTATTATTATTATTATTACATTTTTCCTTTAATTTATTATTATTTATCTATTTGCTAAATATTTATTTAACACAAAACAAGATATTTTCACTTCCATTACTATTAATAGTTATCATTTTTTGATATTTGTATTTAATGGAATGACTATATTTCTTTTTTGTCAATAACAAGCCTTTAACTACTCTCTTTTTTATTACCCTCTTTCATCTCTTTTGATAAAATGTGGTAATTCCTTATACATGTTGTGATATTTCAATCTCTGTGTTGTTTGCAATAAAAGTGAGTAAGTGGAATAAAACGGTGTAAAAAAATCAGAGAGCAGTGAAAATTACTTCACTTTTAATTGACTAAAAAAAACGTTTCTAGAAACCATCAATTTCCAATTCATACTATTCACATGATTTCAAAAATAATTAAGTGGTGATATTGTGATATTATTTAGTTAGAGAAGAAAGGGAAAATAATAATAATGGTAACACTGAAACTGGATAAATGCTAAATTCCGGCTGAAAATAGAAAAACCACTCGGTTGCATAAGCTATGATTATTTAACCCTTGTTTTGTTTTGCAGTTAAAATACTGAATGTTTATGCTTAATCTAGGCCACTCCCAGTTTCTAATTCATCATACACAAAAAAATAAAATAGTAGGTCTGATACAAACAACTCCTGGTAGCCTCATATTGCAGAGCAACATTAAGGCAAACAGCTCATTGTGCGACCCCCACCTTACTATGGTATAGCCCATTGTTAGGGGTGGCTTTAGACAGGACTACCTGGACAGGGGTGGTTAGTCTTATATTCATTAAAATTTGGCATTCCCATCCAAGAAAGTACGGCCCAGAAGGACAAGGCGTGATCTTATCCGAAAGTATGGCTTGAACATATGCAGACAGTGCTTTAGGACGTCTGCTAGAGATATTGATGGGTTCCAAGAATTGATCAATGAAAAGTTTAATAAGCATAATGCTATACCGGAGGAGTTCCCAAAAGAGTGGTCGACGTTCGGCCTTATTCTGTCGTCCATATTGATTAGTCCTGCTGCTAAGATCCAATCGAAATCATCCTCATATTTTCCTGCTTGAATGTAACCACACTCATCCAGTGACTGTTCGAAGTTGCAATTACCAGAAACTAAAAAAAAAACAATTATATTTAATTTTTACTGTACAAACTATTTTAACAAAAAAAAATATGTACACATTCTCATTCCCTCATCTGTTTCTTGCACGCACCAGCTTGCACCTATTTTTGTGTATTTTTTGGGTGTAAAGATTCTTACCAACTTATATTTAGAACTCACAATTCAATTTTATTGTACTTCAAATCTTCAAGGACCAATAGGCCAATGCGCTGGGAATTCCTTCACAAATACACCGTAAAAAATTGAAAAGCAAAATAAAAAA